TGTTTATTTTAATTGAAGGATTTTATATGGTTTTTTGGAGGGTCTCGGCCAGAAGATGTTCCCTATACCAACATTTTGCATCATAGGACCGATGACGTTTAATTCATGTACGTGCACCAAATTTTCTAAGAAAACCAACAAGAGGATACATCATATTATTATTTTTCTATCAATATCGAGCACACGGTAGATGCACACGCGCACATGCGCAACTAAGGTTTGATCTTTCGGTGGACTCATGGCACAAGAACAGCTCCTCTGACCATGAGATGATGAATTGGTTCTCCCTCATATTATTTTCTCTTGAGAAGTGGTACCATGCAATCACTCTCTATTCACTCTACCACCACGCAGTTCATGTATTTCTTTGATGTGAACCATCCAACCGTATTTTTGCGATATCCTAAGAATTAAAACCGCACCACATTTCTTTGTTCCTGTATATTCTAATTTCTGGGATCTCAGAGGCGCTGCAAAACCGAGAATAAAAACAAACCAGTGCGAACCGTGGAAAGTAGGTGGTGGCTATCATTTTTTTTCCTAATTTATGCGACCGATATTTCTTGCGTCTCCGGCCACAGCAGCAGGTTGAGCGATCTATGGACGTGGCCATCTAGAGATCTTTTGCATGCATATGCATGCGCTCATTGCTGATGGATCCACTCTTAATTCCACTCACGGGCTCGCGCGTGTTTGGCCACAGCGGGCGCGCTGCCGCCACGTCGGGCATACAGGCGCGCAGAGTCGTCGATCCGCTCATGGTCGGACGTTATGCACCGGCACATGCAGTGCCGTGCGCTTCCCTCCGCCGGCAGCCGCAGGGTAAAACCTGGCCGGGTGGCGCTGCCACGCGTGCCGGCCGCCTTGATTGATCGGACTATAGTCAATTGATTGCCGTCCCGCTGGACACGCGCGACGTTGCAACGGCCGCCGGGCTGCGAGTCCGGTGCGCGGACATTTCAACACCCAGATCCCATCGACCGAGGAGGAGCTACCCGAACCAGCAACGAAGAGCCCCAGGCTCGCGGGGAGAGCGTGGGCGTACGTACCGGCCGCCGAATGCCCTGCGACGGCGTGCATGCACCTGTAGCTGAGCCCTGTCCACGTTAGCATATATAGCATGCACATGCGCGCGATCGCCCGGCCGCCGGTCATCAAGTCGGAGATCGGCCGGATAGACACGCACGTACACGTAGGGGTACGTGAGCAACTGCGCCTCCCGGTCCCGGCCGTCGTGCAATCATTCGAGACACGTATGTCCTGCGGCGGCTGTAACGTGGCCCGCGGCGCCGCAACGACGACCCCTTCTCTGGGCGCTCAGCTCGTGGGTGAGCGCTGATATTTTCACCCATCCCTAGCTAGCAGCAACATGGTTATTGGTGTCTGCTCCACGGCCCACACAGACGAGCCAGCCGGCGACACCGGCAATGAGCGAGCGGCAGGTGTGCCGTTGCGGCCCGCGTCCATCCAAACTCAGTCAGGTGTACGGACCTCAAGCACGATCCAAGGCAAACACCGACGCGCGCCCTGCCCGTTTCACGAGAGACAAACGCAGCACACAGGTGTCCCGCGACCGTAGGCCGGGGCGAGGAGCCACTCATGATCAACTCTCCATGCATGGGGCCGGCCGGTGGCATGCGGACAGTGAACGTCGAGCCGGTCCCGAGCCGCGGTTGATTGGTCATTTGGTTTGCAGGGCGGCACGACGCAAAATGCACACGATGGAAGACCGCTCTGGGCTCTGGCTAAGCCTTTGACGCTTAATTCGCGTAGCTAGCTCGCGCACCGACCGAGACGATGCATGCATGTGGCCCGTGGCTGCTACGCGCGCCCGTCGGTCTACGCACGAGTACGTGCCACCATCCGCAACGTACGCGTGCCCCCGGCCGGCGGTGTGCCGCCCTCCTACCGTCCTACGTTCCTACGCAAACATCGGTCTCTTGTGGTTCTGCCCATCACGCTACAAGTATCAGGCTTCCAGATCCGTCTCCCGTCGTGCATATCCTAACAGGCATGCCTGGCATGGCATATGCAACTGGGATACTACCACGACCCCTTTGGGCCCCCAAGAATCTATCCGAATCGAGCACTCGTACTGTACCGATTTTTGGTGCTTCTACCAGATTTGGGCGGCTCCTACGACCATGGGGCCTCACTAACCACGCCACACATTCTTGCCAGATAAACTATTTTAGGTGTAAAGATGGATTGTATATGCATGCGCGTGATGGGAGAACAACATGCATAATGCGTAAAGAACACACGTAATCGCCCTTTCCCTGCAGCAAATATCTTATCAAATCAAACGACCCATTTTAATATGCCATATTTCGCAGCAACATGCTCCAAAAGGCCAAGTTTCGTTTGCTCTCTGACGTGAAGCATGTAGCCCGTTGGTAGCTTGGGCGGGCGAGCAGATAATAATGCCGTCATAATTGAACTAAACAGCTTCCTTTCTGCCTTAGAAAAACTTCCTTCGACAGGAGAACTAAGCAACTTACTCGTACGCCATCTCCATGGAGCATGGGGCGTGCAACATCGAGAAGGCCGTGCATGGGCATGGCCTCAGCAATGACTTAAGAAAAATAAGTTGAGTATACGTTTATACTGCTGGCTGTTCGTAAGTCATGTGTATTTACATTATTATTCTTTTCTAGTATACTACCTTTTTGCGTGAAAAGGATCCAATTTATGATAAAAGCTCACCAGAAGAACAAAACACCACAAACATAATAAAAATTACGCCGAGATTTCTTAGACCACTACCGCCGCCAGAACGAGCCACCGACGCGTTGTTGTTGCCGCTCCTCTATCGGAGCCGGCTTTATCTTACCGATGATAGCTGGGAAGTCTTCGTGCACATGCCCATAAGGATCAACGCCTTGGTGCCGCAATCGTCGCCCTTGAACTCTTGAATAGATCTGAAACACCTACACCAAATCTCACCACGGGACAGGAATTCTAAGCTGACTGTCGATTATGTCTAGATGGATGAACTCGATGAAGATCAGAGCCCAGAAGGCAAACGAAAAGAGGAAGTGCCATCATCCACCCAAGCATAGCATATGCGAGGATAAAAAACTACTCCATCCGTTCCTAAATATTTGTATTTCTAGAGATTTCAACAATTGACTACATAGGAAGCAAAATGGATGAATCTACACTCTAAAATATGTCTATATACATCCGTATGTGGTAGTCCATTTGAAATCTCAAAAAGACAAATATTTAGGAATGGAGGGAGTATAACCAAACTACTAGCCGGAGCGGAGGCAATGAAATTCACCTCCCCGCCATTGGTCGCGGCAAAGAGTAGGCGAATCCATGGGCTCGCGGATGAAACATGGAGGGGAGAGTTTGCCCTAGCCGCCAAGGGTGGGGGAGAAAACGCTAGATATGTCTGACGTAAGATTTTGAATGGTGAGAGTTTTCCCTAGACGCCTATCAATGTTTTGATATATCGTCCTTTTGACAATACAATCATTTAACCATTAATAGTAGAAAAAGAAGCTATGTACTAGGATTAATAATGACACAGACAATGGTGACCCGACACTTGTCCCTTGAATCGCTCCCATGAGTCGTGAGGAGAACAGGAAAAAAGAGTACGTAGGAAGAAGAGGGGTACCTTCTACTACCACGTGGCAAGGAAAGAAAGTGAGAGTGATATTTGCTATAGTAGCAATTTCCACATTAGACTACTACATTATACTACTCCCCGGCATGCATTCCCACAGTATTATTCAGAATCAGAGAGATTGACACGGGGTGAAGTCAAGAATAAAGAAAAAGGAAGGAGAAAAATGGTCGCAGAACGCTGCACAAAATCGGGCCGATCGAACGACGTCCTCACAGCTGTCCCGTGCAAAGGTCAACTCATCTGACCGCACATGCTCTTTGAATTTCTGATTGGGATGCTAACCTACTACTACCAGTAGCGGGCCATTATTTTGCTGAATACCAATTCCAAAAGGAAGTTTGAAAAATAAAATAAAAAGGACATTTTATCTCGTCAATCAAAAAACAAAAACTAAAGACGGGGAGCTGCATGCTCGCGAACATTTCCCTGACGACGGACCAAGAGATCAGTTCAACACCTGTCATTCCGACCATGGAACAAATGAAGCATTTTCCGCATGCATTTCTACGCAAAGGCTGCTTTAACCGGTCAGTGTTTAATGTTTACCACAAGAATCACGTAGAGAATGACTTACATTAGAAAGCATAAAGGAAGTGGCCCGATCAGTAGATATGCAGGCCAATAGAAATATCTTGAGGCCAGCTGAGCTGCTGCTACGTCTACGTGACGACGCAGTGGGCAGGCCAGGAGGGCGGGGCTGGGATATTTACGAGAGAAGAGTACTGTATACAATAACCAACTAATCAAGCAAGCGTGCGGCCAAAACACAGCAGGATTATAGGAGAGGGGAAGGAAGCAGCATAGAGAGCGTACATGTTGGGGCTGAGGGGCGAAAGGGAGAGGGGTGAGCTGTTGGGGCTTCGATCTCCGTCTCGCGCGCTGGAAAGTCGGACGGGACTGCTCCTTCCCTTGGCTAATTGATTGATTAGTCGAGGTCCAGCTCTTGCCGGATTAAACTGTGCAATAATTCGATGTGAGCCTCACACGCAGCAGTGGCAGCGCCTAGTTAGATTTTTAGGGTGCGCCGCGCCAGGGCCGGAGACCAACGGCGCTCGCATTTCCCTCACCGCCAATCTATAAATACCTGCCACGCCCCTTGCATTTCCCTCCACACCCAGGCACCACCACCACCCATCTCCTCTCCTCGTCTTCCTCCTCGGACTCCTTCGGGCTCATCCTTTGCACCTAACAGAAGCGAAGAGAGCCTTTCGTTGGCATGGCAGCTTTCATCCTCTTCCTCTGCTTGCTCGTGCCGCTCGTCCTCGCGTGCGCCATCCGCGCCAGGAAGGGCGCCGGCGGCCGTTCGTCGTCGGGCGGCGGCAAGAAAGGCAGCAGCAGCCTGCCGCTGCCGCCCGGGTCGATGGGGTGGCCGTACGTGGGCGAGACCACGCAGCTGTACTCCTCCAAGAACCCCAACGTCTTCTTCGCCAGGAAGCGGAACAAGTACGGGCCCATCTTCAAGACGCATATCCTCGGGTGCCCCTGCGTCATGGTGTCCAGCCCCGAGGCCGCGAAGTTCGTGCTTGTTACTCAGGCGCACCTCTTCAAGCCTACCTTCCCGGCCAGCAAGGAGCGGATGCTGGGTCCCCAGGCCATCTTCTTCCAGCAGGGGGACTACCACGCTCACCTCCGCCGTCTGGTCTCCCGCGCCTTCTCCCCCGAGGCCATCCGCGGCTCCGTCCCCGCCATCGAGGCTATCGCCCTCCGCTCCCTCGGCTCCTGGGAAGACCTTCAAGTCAACACCTTCCAAGAGATGAAGACTGTGAGTGCTTCTTCCTCTTCCATTCCCACTTGCTCTGCTTCCCTCTGCTCTGCTCTACTGCTAAATAATTGGAGCTTGAGACTGATCCTTCTGTTGGTGTCGTGGCGCAGTACGCTCTGAATGTGGCATTGCTGTCCATCTTCGGGGAGGAGGAGATGCAGTACATCGAGGAGCTGAAGCAGTGCTACCTGACGCTGGAGAAGGGGTATAACTCGATGCCGGTGAACCTGCCGGGCACGCTGTTCCACAAGGCCATGAAGGCCCGGAAGCGGCTGGGCGCCATTGTGGCCCACATCATCTCGGCCCGGCGCGAGCGTGAGCGCGGGAGCGACCTCCTGGGCTCCTTCATGGACGGCCGCGAGGCGCTCACCGACGACCAGATCGCCGACAACGCCATCGGCGTCATCTTCGCCGCGCGCGACACCACCGCCAGCGTGCTCACGTGGATGGTCAAGTTCCTCGGCGACAACCCCGCCGTGCTCAAAGCCGTCACCGTAAGTCGCCATCAACCAGCTGACCCGCTTGGTACCCGATCGAAAAGCAGCGACTGACCCGTGCATCCAACAATTAACAGGAAGAGCATGCCGAGATCGCGAGGGAGAAGGCGTTGTCCGGCGAGCCGCTGTCGTGGGCCGACACGCGGCGGATGCGGATGACGGGCCGGGTGATCCAGGAGACGATGCGGGTGGCGTCCATCCTCTCCTTCACCTTCAGGGAGGCCGTGGAGGACGTGGAGTACCAAGGTGAGACATCAATCAACTTCGCGCGCGCGCGCGCTTTGGTCGTTTGCGGCAGCGCAGCGCCGTACTGTGCTGTCCCTCTCGGAGTACAGCAGTGCGCTGCCTGCCTGCCTGCGCATGAACTGGCTCGGAAAGGACGTGCTCCTAACCGAACGGGAATAGACCAACTCGAACTCGCAACTCACCTCGACTCGCTCTCTTCTGTGCGTGCAGGGTACCTGATTCCCAAGGGCTGGAAAGTGCTTCCCCTGTTCCGGAACATCCACCACAACCCCGACCACTTCCCCTCCCCCGAAAAGTTCGATCCTTCACGATTCGAGGTCAGCATCATAACAACCCTCTATTTGACGAGCCTGCTTCGATTCGATTGATCATTATCTGATTATACGTTTTGGTTCGTGACTGCAGGTGGCCCCCAAGCCCAACACGTTCATGCCGTTCGGGAACGGGACCCACTCGTGCCCCGGCAACGAGCTGGCCAAGCTGGAGATGCTCGTCCTCTGCCACCACCTCGCCACCAAGTACAGATGGTCCACCTCCAAGTCCGAGAGCGGCGTCCAGTTCGGCCCCTTCGCCCTCCCCATCAACGGCCTCCCCATGACCTTCACCCGCAAGGACAAGAACAAAGCCTGAGCCATCCATCCATCACCTCCTCCTCGTTCCCAAAGGAAAATCAACAGCACGATAGTGGCAACGGCGTGGCACATGCGAGCTGGATCGGCTCCGTCCGTGTCCGTGGCGGTCGCCGTCGGAGGGGACACTTGTAGCTGTGGGCGCCGCGGCGGGAGCGAGAGCGCGCTGGCGGAGGCCGATCGGAGAGAGCACGGGCCGTCAAAGTCCTTTGTACATATTCTTCAGCCAGGACCATGACGGCCGGGCGAGACAAGACCAAGAAAAATCCCACTCTTCAAAACACACACAGACGTAGGCATTCTCAGCTAGGGAGATCCGGCGCCACAAAGAAGTGGCGCCGAACTGTAAAACCAACCATTTTTTATCCTTTTTTCCTTCAGATTTTTATTTTTTTGGCAACACCTATACTAGTATAGGAGGAGGAGAAGACAGCAGACTGACAGGCCCTGATTGGGATGTAAGATAGGCTGCCCGCCTGAAAGCAGGCTGGCAGCTAGGTCGAATAATTAATGGATCGATCGACCGCGGCAAAGGGCCAAAAGGAGGCCCCCGGGAGAGCGACCCCTCTGTATTGTTTGTTACACGTCAATGAACTGGAAATGGCTTTCTTGTGGATGGAATGGCATACAAGTACGTACCTGTGATCTGTTTCTAAATATACTAAAAACAGTAGTGCTAATCAACTGTCTCGATGCTACTCGTAGTTGAGAGTAGTAGTAGTAAGCAACACTTATTCCCGATCGCCTCGTGCGTGTCCGTGCATGCGTCGAAGCAACAAAGTCCACGCTACACGAAGTACACCTCTATAAAATATCGCCTGGGCTCTTGGCGGGGCAAACAATCATGCAGGCTTGTGGTCGGGATTGATGCTCTAGAAACAAAGCCACTGCCTGGCCTCTGCGATTCTGGAAGGGCTAGCTCCTCACTCCCCTGGTGGAGGTGGAGCCCTGTCTCCACTCTTAGTTATTTTTAGATCAACCACTCTTAGGGTTCTACTAGAAACTAGTTTTGGAAGAAGCCGGTCCTACAAGGAGCTTGACTCCAAGGTGATGTGGGACAGAGATCAGGTGACATGCACGTTTGCATGTCACCGCGTGCCTTGAGGCCAAAATTCAAATTTAAACATTGCGAAAAAATCTGAAAAAAAATCATGCATGTTCACAACACATATTAAGATAAAATTCATATCAAAATTCGAAACATACATTGAGAAACAAAAAAGAGAAATCTTCATGAATAGTTCGTGAATGGTTCTCTGTAGACTATTCACATCTGAGTTTCTCTTTTTTGTTTCTCGATGTATGTTTCGAATTTTGATCTGAATTTTTTAGGGGTTATCTTAATATGTGTTGTGAACATGCGTGATTTTTTTCAGATTTTTTTTTGCAATGTTTAAATTTGAATTTCGGCCGCAAGGCACACGGTGACATGCAAACGTGCATGTCACCTGATCTCTGTGCGGTGATGTGTGTTTAGCAAAGGCGAGAGTCCCTTTATATGCCGGGGCTCAGATGAGCTCGGGATGAACTGTAACTTATTTTTTTAAAATGTTTAAAAATCTGATTTCTTTTTATATGAAAAACTTTTACAAATGTTCTAAGAGCTTGCAAAATTTCATCACGAAATCACATCTGTGCAAGTCGTGGCAAAAAAAAGCAGTGCTTCAAAATGCTTTCCAAAGTAGCATTTTCAGAGTATCGAATTTGTTTTTTCTCGCCATGACTTCTAAAAATGTGATTTCATGATGAAACTTTGCAGGCTCTTAGAACATTTGCCAAAGCTTGCCTTAAAAAGTTCAGATTTTTTGAACATTTTTAAAATATTTTTTGATTTAACTGTTCACCCGAGCTCATTTGAGCTCGGGTGCAAAAACTTCACGTCCTAGCAAAGGCCTCATTTGGTTTATATGTGATTTTGTAGGGATTCCGCATTTTTAAAAAGGGCAATATATTAGTATCAATATTATATTAATTTACCGGTGTAATGACACATATCAAGACTAGTCCAAACATAAAGGACACACACAATAAAAAAGATTAAAAGAGAGAGTCGATGCGACAAAGACACACAACATGCAATCAACAACAACATTAATTTCATTAATAGCGGAGGAACTACGAGAAAGGTTCTCCAAAAAATAATGCCTTCAGAAAGGGAGCGACACATAAGCACCATCAACGTTGGATCAAACCACTAGAGGTCAGATCTTAGATTTTCACCCAGAGAGCATGACCAAGGAATCTCCAATGCAATGCTTTCAACAAGAACACTATGTGGAAACATCGCCATTGCCAGATGCAACCATAGAAGGTCATACCTAAGGTATTCACCGCCTATACTAAGGAGAGAACGACCAACCTATAGTTGTTGTGTATTACCGCCACCACTTGCCTAAGAAGACAATGACGCCCGGAGGGGCACACCCACATGGCATGGTCACGGGAAATTGAAATCCAAACCGTTTCATGCCATACTGCCCAGAGAGAACAGCTCACGTGCTTAACCCTAACGTGGACATTTTAACGCTAGCTAGGCCATACCCATGAACAAAAGCTGATGCACATCGCGGAGAACCAAATGTCGTCGACAACTTCTCATGTGCATGTATTCCAAAGATGGCGTGGTAGAGTCTGACAGTGCCAAAGGCACCAAGGCACGTTATGTTGTAGCAACACCATCACCAATGCACCATTACACCTCTTCAAGTTGTCGTCCTTGGAGTTACATCTCCGGTGCCACCACTAACCACGCCCCCGGCACCGAGCCTCTACCAACCATTGGAAGCCAGATCTGGGAAGTCCAGATTCGTCGTTACCGGCACCAACAATCACATCATGCAACCACCACCATAGGAGGAGGTCGCGTCATCAATCTGCACCTGCCATCAACAACTAGCAGTCGACCACCACTCCCGTGGAGGAGGTACCCCCTGCTAGGTGGAGCATGTCTCCATGAGCCAGGGAGCCTCCGTCGCCGCCCGCCTGGGAGCCAGCCACCCACGCTGCATCAGTCGCCGATCGGGGACCCGCTGCCCAACAGGCAGAGGTCGCACGATCTAGCGCACAGGAGAAGCCACCGTCGAGCCACCACCACCACATATGCTTTGTCCGATAGTTGCCTCCGTTGACGGCGAGGGGGTGGGAGTAGAGGGAGAGGGCCGAAGGAGGCGGTGGACTGGATCTCCGAATGTGCCACCTAGGGTTAGGCGACGAGGGTCAGCCCTTTTCTTCTCCATAAATCCCCTAAAGGGCAAAAATATGTTTTGTTCCGTTGGAATTCTACATGATAGGAAAGTCTTCTTTGGTGCCATATGGTTCATGAGCTCATTGTTTATAGGAATATAATCGTATTCCTATATTTGATTGATTCATATCCTCCACGTGTCAAAGGAAAAGAAACATTAGATCAGGCTCAATAGAAAAAATCATCCAATAAAATCAATGACTTATGTTTCCCTATTCCTATTCATATATTTTGAGCTACATGTTGCTACTTCTTGAGCTTGCGTTGATTTTTTTTCCTTGAAGAGGAAATGGTGATGTAGCAAAGTAGAGATAAGTATTTCCATCAGTTAAGAACCAAGGTATCAAACTAGTAGGAGGAACACACAAGTCCCCAGTAGATGCACCTGCACAAACTAATAAACACTTGCACACAATGCGAAAAAGGGGTTGTCAATCCCTTCACGATTACTAGCAAGAGTGAGATCTGATAGAGATAGGTATAAAAGATAAGTAAAAGTGTAAAATAAAGTAAAGATAAATAAATTGCAGCAAGATATTTTTGGGTTTTTGGTTTTATAGATCTGAAAATAATATGATAGAAATAGATCCGGAGCCATAGGTTTCACTGAGGCTTCTCTCTTGAAGAAAGCATACGGTGGGTAAACAAATTACTGTCGAGCAATTGATATAAAAGCGCATAGTTATGACGATATCTAAAACAGTGATCATGAATATATGCATCACATCCGTGACAAATAGACCGACTCCTGCCTGCATCTACTACTATTACTCCACACATCGACCGCTATCCAGCATGCATCTAGTGTATTAAGTTGACAAGAATTGAGTAACACCTTAAGCAAGATGACATGATGTAGAGGGATAGATGCAAACAATATGGTAAAACCCCCATCATTTTATCCTTAATGGTAACAATATAAATACGTGCCTCGCTACCCCTACAGTCACTGGGTTAGGACATCGTAAGATTGAACCCATTACAAAGCACCTCTCCCATTGCAAGAAAGACCAATCTAGTTGGCCAAACCAAATCAATAGATCAGACAGAAATATAAAGCAATGTTAATCATGCATAAATGAGTTGAAAGAAGACTAAAACAATATTCATAGATAATCTGATCATAAATCCATAATTTACCGGTTCTCAACAAATGCACTGCAAAAGAAGATTATATCGAATAAAACTCCAAGAACATCAAGGAGAACTTTGTATTGAAGATCAAATAGAGAGAAGAAACATCTAGCTACTAGCTATGGACCTGTAGGTCTATGGTAAACTACTCACACATCATCGGAAGGGCAGCAAGGTTGGTGTAGAGGCCCTCCGTGATCGAATCCCCATCCGGCAGAGTACCGGAAAAGGCCCCAAGATGGGATCTCACGAGAACAGAAGCTTGCGGTGGCAGGAAAGTATTTTTGGTGTGCCCCCTAATGTACAGGGAATATTTGGGTATTTATAAAGCTGGAGTTAGGGTTAGGGGAGTCCCGAGGGGCCCACAATCCGCGAGGGGGGGGGGGGCTCTAGGGCTTTTGGACCTCTCGTGGCTCCTCCGGCCTCCTCCCGAAGCTTTCTGGTCTAAGAAAAATCCTCAAAAAAAATCGTTCTGTTTGGACTCCGCTGTAAAAGACAAAATAAGGAAAAAACACCAACTGGCACTGGGCACTAGGTTAAGAGGTTAGTCCCCCAAAATGATATAAAATAACATATTAATGCATATAAAACATCCAAGATGGATAATACAATAGCATGAAACA